AAAAAACGGTCAAGTTTCCGAAAAAACACGTAAACACGTATATTTTATTTTGTTTTTTTTACATATTTTAAGATTTTTAAAAAATGTAAACAGGGTGTTTCGAAAAATCTGGTCATTGATTAATCACGATCCTGCTTAAAGCGCTTGACGTAAAAAGCTGATTTTTGGAAAACATATTGACTTTAGGGTGTAGAGGTTCGATAAGAAGGGATTTTTCGAAACTCGAATTCTAAGGGGGTGAAACTATCCCTCAAATATTAAAATATTTTTTATTTAAAAACCGGTGAGTTTTTCGGAAAAACTCTTAAACATGTATATTTTATTTCGTTGTTTTACATATTTTAAGATTTTTTTATAAATTTATACAGGGTATATAAAATATGACCATTGAGTAATCACGATTCTGCTTAAACTGCTTGACTTTTAAAGCTGATTTTTGGCAAACGGATTGACTGTGAGGTGTAGAGGTTCAATAAGGAGTGGTTTCTCGAATCTCAAATTCCAAGACGGTGAAAACACCCCTCAAATATTTGTTATTTAGGTTAGTCTTTCGGGAAAACGCTTGGACAAGCATAATTTATTTGGTTTTTTACATATTTTGAAATTTTTCCAATTCCACTCAAATATTACCAAGTTATATAATAATATTGCCATATTGTTTTTTCTCATGCTTACATAAATGTGAGAAAATTTTATCCAGTTTTTATGTTAATGGAAATTCTTGCTTTGCTTTATCATCACCATTACAAATGATTAATTCGACGCGAACGAAATCGCTGGGACATGCTAGTTTTACATATAAAATTACAGCGATTTTCATTTCATAGCCATCGCTGACGCCGTTTTTTCTCGATCATATTGTATTAAATAAGCCTAAGCAATTATCTCTCGCAGTGGTTTTTCATTAACTGAAAAAATATGACGATACCAGAAGTATCTCTGCTGAATTATGAAAATCTTTCAAATTAATCAGAAAATATTTTGACATCTTTTTTATTTCTGAACTATTGACTGTTTGGTATTATACAGAGTGAGTCTTAAATAAGTGCAAATATTTTCAGGGCTAGCAGATCTCTATAAGAGAAACATATTTTCTCTTTACCGATTTCCAAATAAATCCAAAATAACCGAATTACTTTACTTTGAAAATTGTTGAGAACCACTGGACCTTTTCTAGATTTTCTTTCCTGTAAATCTAATTTACTTCCCATGTTGCCATATTATCAACAAATTATGTTTTTTAACTAAAACATAAAAAGTTCCAAATTTTTTTTCAAAAAATTCAAAATTTCTTTTCGCGAAAAAAAACCTCATAATCGTGTTTCTGGGATCGAAATATACTACCCCTAAAAATATTTGCACTTATTTAAGACTCGCCCTGTATTTCTAGTTAAAATAAAAATAACTAATATCGGTTTTTTGCTCTATACAGGGTGTCCCAGAAATAAGTGCAAATATTTTAAGGGGTGGTAGATCTCGATAAAAGAAACATATTTTCTCTTTATCGTTTTTCAAATAAATCCAAAATAACCAAATTATTTCACTTTGAAAATTATTGAGAACCACTGAATCTTTTCTAGATTTTCTTTTTTCTTTTTTCGAGAAAAAGCCCTCATAGGCGTGTTTCTGGCGTGGTTGAACTATACTATCAGTTAAAATATTTGCACTTATTTCTGGGACATCCTGTATATTATTTATTAAGTTCGTCATGTCAAAATCAATACTAGCACCTACATATGCTGAAATATGAAAATCTTTTAAATCTCTCAGAAAATTCTTTGGTATTTTTACTACTGAATTACTGTTTGTCCTTCCTAAAAGTAGATGTAGAGAGATAAATTAAGACGAAAAATACAAATATATTATATAAACAGCAAGGTCAAGGTTATTTAACTTTAAATAATTGGACGTGAATAATTATTTAAAAACAAGGTCACGAACAGTAAAATGCAGAATAGCATCAAAACAATTTCAATTGCCGATCAAAAAAATTATAAGTCTAAAAAGTATCGTTAAGGTGCATTTTAATTAGATTTCATATTTATATTTTTTTTGTATTAAGGAAGGTGCTGTAAATAAAAAACTAGAAAATAGGACACCCTGTACAGTTTAACTAGCAATAACTTTTTTTGTTCTTTATGATAGAATATTAATTTCATAACAAATAAGGTTTTTAGTTAAGTTTTATCTTGCATTATCAAAAATGTTACAGACTCTGTCAGATGTTACTTGTATGAACTCTTCGTTTTCTAATACCCTTCTAAAACACAAGGAGCCTCATAAATGTGTTTGATTCGGTTTTAGAAGTAGATTACATAACAATGTTTCTTAGTTTTCTGAAATTTTTTACACATGCCCCTTCTTTTTAATCTATACTAATATATAAAATCCTTAAGTGACTGACACTGATTAATCACGATCCTGCTCAAACCACTCAACGTAAGAAGCTCAATTTTGGCATACAGGTTGATTCTAGGGTGTAGAGGTTCGATAAGAAGGGATTTTTCGAAATTCCAGTTCCAAGGGGGTGAAACCACCCCTCAAATACCACAATATTTTTTATTTAAAAAACGGTCATGTTTCCGAAAAAACGCTTAAACACGTATATTTTATTTTGTTTTTTTAAATATTATAAGATTTTTGTGATTGTAGAATTTTTTGGTGATGTAGAAGCGGAGGTGCGAGAACGGACAACGAAGGCAACCAGAATAGCAGGATGCCTGAATGATACAATATGGCGAAATAAAAACATTGAGGTGGAGACTAAAGCGAGAATTTACAAGGCAACGGTACGACCAATAATGACATACACTGCAGAAACTCGACCTGATACAGCGAAAACTAAACAACTACTAGAAACAACCGAAATGAGAGTACTACGCAGAATAGCTGGAAAGACACTTCTGGACAGGGAGAGAAATGAAAGCATAAGAAAGAGCGTGCAAGGTGGAAAATGTAATGAGTGGGTACTCAGCAGAAAGGAAGAATGGAACGAGCATATCAGCAGAATGGACAACAGAAGGATAGTGAGAGTTGCACGCGACAAATCACCGCTAGGTCGCAGAAGCTTAGGACGTCCACGAAAACGATGGAGCGACAACTTGTCAGTCTAACCGGTAGAGACGACGAATCCAAACAGGCGATTCGCCTAGTATGAAGAAGGAAGAAGAAGAATAAGATTTTTTAAAAATGTATACAGAGCGTTTCGAATAATCTGGTTACTGATTAATCACGATCCTGCTTAAAGAGCTTGACGTAAAAAGCTGATTTTTGGAAAACAGATTGACTTTAGGGTGTAGAGGATCGATAAGAAGGGATTTTTCGAAACTCGAATTCTAAGGGGGTAAATAATAAAAAATTAATTCTATCCCTCAAATATTAAAAAAAAATTATTTAAAAACCGCTGAGTTTTTCGGAAAAACTCTTAAACACGGGTATTTTATTTTGTTGTTTTACATATTATAAAAATTTTTATAAATTTATACAGGGTGTTTCATAAAATATGACCATTGAGTAATCACGATTCTGCTTAAACTGCTTGACATTTAAAGCTGATTTTTGGCAAACGGATTGACTGTGGGGTGTAGCGGTTCGATAAGGAAGGGTTTCTCGAATCTCAAACTCCAAGAGGGTGAAAACGCCCCTAAAATATTACAATATTTGTTATTTAAAAAACGGTTAGTCTTCCGGGAAAATGCTTGGACAAGCATAATTTATTTGGTTTTTTTTACATATTTTGATTTTTTTTTAAAAAATCATACAGGGTGTTTGGTTTGGTTTATGCTTGTCCAAGCGTTATCCCGAAAGACTAACCGTTTTTTAAATAACAAATATTGTAATATTTGAGGGGCGTTTTCACCCTCTTGGAATTTGAGATTCGAGAAAACCCTCCTTATCGAACCTCTACACCCCACAGTTAATCCGTTTGCCAAAAATCAGCTTTAAACGTCAAGTAGTTTAAGTAGAATCGTGATTAATCAACAGTCATATTTTATGAAACACCCTATATAAATTTATAAAAAATCTTAAAATATTTAATACAACAAAATAAAATATACTTGTTTAAGAGTTTTTCCGAAAAACTCACCGGTTTTTAAATAAAAAATATTTTAATATTTGAGGGATAGTTTCACCCGCTTAGAATTTGAGTTTCGAAAAATATCTTCTTATCGAACCTCTACACCCTAAAGTCAATCTGTTTTCCAAAAATCAGCTTTTTACGTCAAGCGCTTTAAGCAGGATCGTGATTAATCAATGACCAGATTTTTCGAAACACCCTGTATACATTTTTAAAAAATCTTAAAATATGTAAAAAAACAAAATAAAATATGCGTGTTTAAGCGTTTTTTCGGAAACTTGACCGTTTTTTAAATAAAAAATATTGTAATATTTGAGAGGTGGTTTCACCCTCTTGGAACTGGAATTTCGAAAAATCTCTTCTTATCGAACTTCTACACCCTAGAATCAACCTGTATGCCAAAATTGAGTTTCTTACATTGAATGGTTTGAGCAGGATCGTGATTAATCAGTATGTCAGTCACTTAAGGATTTTATATTTTAGTATAGATTGAGTTTCCCATTGTGGCATTTGATATCCTATGACAATTTCGGTAGCATGCAAGTGCAATTTGTCCAAAAAGCTTATGATTTGTCTTTTTAATGAATATTTTACCATTTAAAGCGGAATCAAACAAAATGCCATCACTGTAAAGGTTTTTATAAGACCCCAAAAAACGGTAGAAAAGAACGAATAAAAGTTAAATTAATAAATCCACTAAATTTCGATATTTTAAATTATTTTTAATGCATTGCGGTCATTGCGTTTTACTACTCATGGGAGATTTTGACAGACAATGACAAAAAATAAACAGATGACGTCCATACCAATCCATTTAAAAAAAAATGACGAAAAATCTAATCGACAAGAAATCGAAAATAAATTATTAGTATAAACTATTACGCTTTCTTCTAAAGTAATATAAGAACATTTTATTACTCACCTAATAATTAAACGTTATAATAAATATCCCTAAACAATTCTTAGTTAATCCACCATCTGTTATTTACACAAATCAATAATCTCTGAAACATTTCAACTAACCGACGAACAAAGATGGTTTCTTCTTTTAATCATCTGAAACTTGTTTATAATAATTATGTCCGCTATAATCTAAACCTTGATGTTAACTATTGAAATAAACTCGATTGTTTATGGTTATTTTATTTTTTTCTCTAAATCTGCTATTAATGTAGTCATGGATTTAAGTTGTGGGATACTCTATAGAAATGTTAATTAAGTTTAGATCATGATTTTTTTGTATTGTTAAAAGAAAGTCAAAAATAAACAAAATATTCATATAAAATCGTGAATCTTTAAATAATAAATTAATGTAATTTTGTATTTATGATTGTTTAACAAAACACAAACAATTTGTGCGAAGAACACTCAAATTTTGTATTGAATTTCAATTTGTATTGTGAGGCGTGAATTTTACAATCATTTGGGATATTATCTGTTTATGTAAACATTTTATTAATTAGTATAGTTTTATAAAGTTCCTTTAATTACATATATTTCATTTATTTGTTAAAATATTGTGGATGTATGTGGTATGAGCCAGACCTGCAAGTGATCGAGTAATGAACAACATCAAATGATACTCCGTGAGTACTATTTCCAGTTCAACTAATTCTTTTGTAGATGATCATTCCAATTCAGAAAAAAATAACCATCCTTTCCAAACCACATAAATTCTTGTAAACAAAAAAAAATGTGACATCGAATTTGACAATGACAAAGTCATATTTTTGCTGGTATTTTAATTGTAGTTTTCTCTGGGCCGTATTATAATATTTTAGGAATTTGAAGGGAGATTTTTGCAAATAACTTTTAGATTTCTTCGCTGGTATTATAAATCGCATCCCTCAGTTCTGTCCAGTCTTGTTCAGCTTCGGAGATTGAGGTTATCGGGGGAAGTGCTTCTCTGATGGCTTCCTGGAGGGCGTTAGCGGTGTCGTTGTTCGTTAGACTCCGTACGTTTAATCTGGTCATGTTATTTTGCTTTTTGCAGTGTGGATGTTTTGGTTTTAATTGAAGTTTCGTTTTCGAAACTACAAGTCGGTGGTCAGTACCACATTTGGCATCTATTCTGGCTTTTGTAAGTCTGACATCTTTCAGATGCTTCCTTCGAACGATGACGTGGTCCAATTGATGCCAGTGGCCTGATCCGGGATGTTTCCAGGTACCTTTAAACTTGTCTTTCAGCTTGAACCATGTATTGGTGATGCAAAGGTTGTACTCTGTGCATGTTGTTAGCAAGCGTCCACCATTGCTATTTACGTTTCCCATTCCATGTTTTCCCAATACGTCTGGCGACACGTGCGTTAAAGTCACCTAGCAAGATGATTCGCTCCTGCTTTGGCATTCGTTGGAGAGCATTTTGTAGATCTTGGTAAAATTTAACTTAACCTTAGCGGCTAGGGTGGGAGCGTAGGCAGTAATAATATTGACATAAGTTTTATCTGATATTGAGTACCTTAGGGTCATGAGACGTTCGGAGACTCCAATGGGCACTTCTGTTAAACCGGTGGCGATTTCGTTTTTGACAGCAATGCCTACGCCATGAATTCTACTGTGTGTGGCAGGATGACCCTTCCAAAAGAAGGTGTAATGCGCCTCAGTAAGACTACCTTTATCTGCAAAGCGGGTTTCGCTAAGAGCGGCAACATCTATACTTAGCCGGTGGAGTTCCTGTGAGACCAGAGCAGTTCTTCTTTCTGATCGATTAGAGTTTGTCCTGTTCAGGAGAGTGCGGACGTTCCATGCTGCAAACGTGAAACATTGACGCTACTTAATTCTCCGATGATACGCTCGAGTAGGCACCCTCTCTCGGAGATCCGATCAAGGGGGTATTTTACCTCCGGACGGTGATTTTGTCCCACTCGAATGTTCCATCTTTGATGAGTGTTAGCTGCGTAAAAGAGTTAAACTGTGACGGTTACGCTGCCGCACAGTTTGGCTGCAACTGTAGCACGGGATGACTATGGCACAGTGAGGACTGAGGCGATAGTTCCCTTGTGCTACGTTCTCGGCCGGGTAGGAGTAGTCTACTTCTCCTCTTCCCCAGAACGATGGCAGGTCTGAGGGTTGTATAGCGTTATACCGCCTATACTCGGACGTCAGAGCCTCGTTTGTGAAAACAGGGTGCACCACGTGAAGGTGAGGTTGACTTTTGGGTAAGCTAGGCTATATGTATCGCTTCAATACCTCTTACACCCTGCTTACACCAGATAAGAACTTTTAGATACCTATTGGGTGACGGTCTGGAATATCTGCCGTACTGTTATCTCATGACAAGGGTGTAAAACCTATTGACACGGACTTTTCATTCACGTCGATTTGAGGCCGGTTGAGATCGGATATCTCATAAGAGTCGATTTATTAGTTTATTAGTTTTTTTCCTACGTCGTCGGTAGGCCATTGGCAATATGGCCGAGGACCGCGGTTCGGATTCTACATTAACAAAGTAGGCCCCATCCAGATTAGCCTTAGTATAGTAGCAAAAAGGAAACTTTAATTTAAAATATTTTACTTTTATTTTATTACAACGGTTTATTGTCTATATTCTTAAAAAAAGTAAAAATATGACTTACTTCAACATCTTGAGACAACTAAAAATAATAAAGGATAAAATTGATGGAAAACATTTGGAATATTGCTAGTTTGACTAGGACAGTAGTTGCGCTAGATGAAAACTCGGCGAATCCATTAGCATTCGAAATGAAATTTTTGTTAATGAAGTATTTCATTAGTCGACCGGTTTCCTTTCGAGAGAGGGCTACATTTGCATTCAAATTAAACGTCACGCGACCAAGCGACAGTCGTACCAACCCACTCTAGCACAATTTCAGCTATCGTAAGGACGAAATTGTCGGAAGTATGTTGAAAAGGCTTTAGTTTTTTTGCGAGTACAGCATTTTTTCAATTAAATTTTAACGTAAAAAGAAAGTCTTGGGAATGTACCGGGTGTCCCACTAAGAATAGCTTTCGGCTGTATCTCGGAAAGTATTAGCCGTAGGGGCTGCGGAAAAAAATCTTTACGATTGCTGGAAATTATTTTCAAGTTTGTAGAGCGACCGCTAGGGGGCGCAACTGCAACAAAAAATAAGAAAATGGAGTTTTTACACAATTTTGCCTAGATAAGGTGTACTATAAGTAATAGCTTCATAATCTTCAGTAAATTTTGAATATTTTTTGTTAAACCCATTTTCCCCTATCTACCAAAATAAAGTGGTGGGGGAAGGTTAGATCTGTTTTTATTTAAATATTAATAACTCTGGACCGGATGATTGGAATCTAACAAGCGAGGGCTCGTTTAAAAGAGCGTTTCTTGCTCTATATTGTATCATATAAACAATAATAATAAGCTTTTGAACGTAGACGCTAGGGGGCGTTGTCTTACAATTTAACAAACATTGCGCGTTTTTTCAAAAAAATTAAATGCAATAGTATATGTAATTTTATCTGATAGTAAAGAGTAGTAAAAGCTTAAAAAGTTAGCGAAAACCGCATCTTGATATCTTCTTTCAAACCAAAGATATTAGCAAAATTATAATAAATACCAAAAAATAAGCCCTTAATTACCTTATTTTTACAACACGGTATCAGTAGCCCTCTTAATTATGCCCATTCTAACAAAAAAATAAGATAGAAACAGTTAGTTTATTTAAAAATCGACGATATACCAGAGTGCCATAATACCAGAGGTATTAATATCTAATAATTAAGATATTAATAACAGTGAACAAGAAACGATGAGTCAGTGAAGTCATGGTAGGCTTTGGAAAAAAGTTGCTTTTGACGTAATAGTATAAATGTCAAATTGTTATTAGATCAACATTTTGAGAGTCTTTACAGCGTTTTACTTTTTTTTATATTTAAATATCTTTATATCATATTTAAATATCTTTAAATATCTCAAAAACCAAAGCATTTAAACATATTAAACACTTATAATAAATGCCTTGTTTTATGCCTAAGAATCCAAAATTTAAATAATATACAGGGTGTTCCATAAGAAAAAAACATAACTTTGGTATGGATCTTAGTTCTGACACACACTGTACATTTGAAAATAATTTTAAATTATGCATATTGCCTCTCTACATATGCCCATAAAAAATTATGTTTCTGCATCCTTCCGTTTTCGTATAATCAACCGAGGCGTATGAGGTGCGCCACCCAGTATATACAGGACAGTTCAGTTATAGATATATATTTACCTGAGAAAATATCCTGATGATTGCGAATTAAGCTACTCAAAACAATTAACGTATATTTTCTAAATAAAAATATTAATTTGAAAAACAAGACATTTCGAATTCCCTGACTTACAGTTTTAAATAGTTTAGATATTGTGCAGAGAAATTCGAAACAATAAGTCTACGCGTTGAACTGAAATTTTTAGTCGGCCGACTATTTAGTTGGAAAAGTGAAAACAATACATACTAATGAAGCCGATCGGCCGAGTATTGATTGCATGTGAGCGCGGCTCCATAAGTATATATTGGTTGTAATTACGAATAAAATATAAACAATATTATTGAAATATAGTTTTATATAAATGAAGGTTAAAACTCACTAATAATTAATTGCAATATTATCACAAATATTAAAAATAAATTTAGTATTATTTATAGTTACCGTTTGCATGTATTGTATTCCTTTTTAATATCTAGGTACGCTGTTAAAGTATTAATAAAACATAATCTAAAAGTGTTCGGGATTGTATATTTACACCTAACAATTAAGAAGATACAAACGAAACACATACTTACAAACGAAAAACCTTACATTTTTTTTATACAGTAATTGCATATCGATATAAGAGTTTGTATTCTTTATCCATGACAACTAGACTGCAAAAATGCATATATAATTTGAAGGCCTCTTAGTTTTTCTTATTATATAAAAATATCTTGATTGCTTGTAATAATTGTTAAATATGTCAAATTGGGTGTTGAATAGCGAATCACTGATATATAATTCTTTTTTAATGCATTTTAAACCATTGCAACTCTATGGATTGTATCCAATTGATGGATGGTCAAGATGGGCCTTCATTATTTATGCTTCTATTATGTTTGTAATTTTTACTCTGCCAGTACCAATACTAG